GAACATTAAAAAAGGGCGAGCACAAAAGATCATGGAAAGATCGCACTGTCACAGGTTTTTCTGCCTGAAAAAGCCCGTTTCACAATAATAATAAAACATCACTTAAAAGATGATTTATATGGGCTCGATTGATTGAATAATGATAGGTAGAACAGTTTGTTGGCTCCTCATAACAATTTCACTTGGAATTAACGACGATTATTTCCAGCTGGAGCATGTGAAAATGGACCTGATTGGGTCTATTGCTAATGAGTCGCCTAATCTCAGTTTCTAACAATCCCCTCTTCTAAAACAAGAGTTTAGAACCCCCGTACCTGAAAATAGTGCCTTACCTCCTAAACGGGGGGAGGGGGCGGGGAAGAATTGTTAGTAATGAGGAGGTTAGTCCACATTACTAATAATATACTCTGTCAGGTCGACTTCCACACAGTCCTGCCTGGAAACCATCGTGGTTAATTATTTTTAAATCCGTCACGAAAGGTTAACTGACAACCCTTCACTGGTGGTGATCACGATAGGCTAAATGGCTTGCCTTTTCACTCTCACCTATCATCCCTCACTAGTGCTCCGCCAGCGTATACCGATAGCACAAGCGGAGTTACCAATCCAATAAAAAAAGACCTTAGCGTTTCTATACCCAACTTAGTGCCGTGTATTTCTAGCAGGATATTCATTCCTACATTCCATTCAGGTAGACACTTATACTCGATAACAGCGATCCTGTCGCTTTGTGGCGACATCGCTGATGCTTCCAAGATGACATTACAATTGGAGTTACTGTGATTGCTTTAACTAAAATTTTATTTAAATTGGAGAAAGATTTTAAAGTGGATTATTTTTTTTAATGCAACTTAGAATGGCAAACAAGCTGACAGACCACCTGATGGAAAATGGTAACCGTCGCCTATAGACATGAGCAGTACCGTGGACATAACAGAGTATACTGTTTCGCCCAGATACCTCCCATGCGTTGCCACTCCTGAGGACTCAGGTGTTATTCCTCTGTACTCTGTAAATTCACTGCCATATCCCATCCTTCAAACGGAAACACAGCCATGCAAACAAATACAACATTTCTATTTGTACATGTAATAATAAAAAGTAAAATTTGTTATAACTATGTGGTCCAGCATAGAATAGGCCACCCCTTCCTTTCCCATGGATGTTGCAATAGTCGACTAAAGGAAGGTGAGGGATGGACAGCAGCCTCCCTCTTAAAACATTTCCAAAGCCTAATTACGGTTGCCAATCCGCCTGCCAAGCGTGACAACTACCGGCAAAATGCCAATAGTTGACACACTTGGCAGATGGATTGGCGAACACAGTTAGGCTTTTGTTGATATTTTAAGAGGGACACTACTGTCTATCACTCGACTATTGACGTCCTTTTAGTTGCCTCTTATAACTCCCACGGGAAAGGAAAGGGTGATTTTTATACAATTAGTTAATTATTTACTTTCTGCGTCATTTTATTTTTAACTCTTCTCTGGCGTAGTTACTATTTTTATATTTGTTTACCGACTTAGTGTCGTAGTGATAGACAAGATACGCCTACTTATATTGTATTTACAGAAAACGAAATTCTATATAAATGAGGTGATTTACCTACCGTTTCTATTATCATTGAGATAATTATAATACTAATATCATTATAAATTAAATAAATAACTTATTATAATCGAGTTATTTTCCAGTAATCAGATACATAAGTGTACGTTTTGATTAGAAGATTAGAAGTTTTAAAATTTGAAAGTACACATGTGTCTTTTACAATGCTCTCTCCTGTCTCTCTCCTCTCCTGCCTCGTCTCCTCTCTCTATTCTCTTTCTCTCTCTCTCTCTAATTTTCTCTGTCTTCTTAAAAATGAAAAACATAACCCGTCAGTAAAGAGTTACTTACCATAGCTACTAAAAGCCTGCAATACCAGGGATGTATAATAAACGAGTTTGATTGTAATGGAGTCTAACAGCTTAACTGATTGAGCAATATTCCTTATCAGATCAACGTCATCAGCTGGAAGTCATTGAATTTAAATACTAGTAAATTCGTAACTCTACAACCTTCCATAACATAGCAGTCGGAGATTGATGGCCATTATGGAATGCTGTAGAACTTCTGGTAATAATAATAATAGTCAATCTTCAAATGTTAGCATATATTTATTGTTATGTTTGTTCCGCAAGAAGTACTGTACCAAATTAGATGCAGTTTTCACAGTTGTGTCCTAGAAGGTCTAATTTAAAAGCTGGTTTATGTTTTATCTTAATAAACTAGACATGATCTAATTCATTGATTTCGCAACTTCTGAAATCCACGTGTACGAAGCAGCGGGCAAAAAGTTAGTTCTTAACATTTTTTAAAAGAATAAAGGAAGAGCCAAAGTCTCCGTCAACTATCGGCAAATTAGATCGACGATTGACCGATAAAGCTCTTGAAACGAATTCGCAAAACGACGTTAGCGACTGAAGATTGATTGTCGAGGAAATTAAAGTTGACCTCCGCCGATACATTGACCCAATACAAGATCAGACATTTTAAAAAATAACACTGTATATGAGTAAAATTATAACTAAATGTAGATAATATAATTAATTCCCATGTACAAAAATCTAGATGATCTGTACTTATTAGGAGATCATCATCATTGGAATATCAGCTTTAATCATCAACTGCTGAACATAAGCCACCCTCTTGGGGGGTTTTGCCAGTAGTTTCCACACTTGGCAGGCGGATTGGCAACCGCAGTTAGGCTTTAAAGATGTTTTAAGAGGGACGCTGCTGCCCATCTCTCCCCTTCCTTAGTCGCCTCTTACGACATCCACGGGAAAGGAAGGGGTGGACTATTATATGCCGGGACGACAAGACGATATTAGGACGTATTAAAGAAAAATAGATATGAGTTTTTAATAAGACCAATGGAAGTCAAAACAATATTTTTTTGATATTTTGTCTATCTGTCTGTATATATATTTGTTCCGGCATAACACAAAAAGTACCACATCAATTTAATGCGGTTATGTTGATAGTTGTTTTCCTGAAAGTTTAACTTTAAATCTGGTATAGGATTTATCTTGATACGCCGTCTATAAATGCTATAAATCACGGGTTTTTCTTCTTCTAAAAGTCACGTGTACGAAGTAGCATTTTATAGTAGATACCTATCAAGTATTACGACACACCCTCAACGGCGATCAGATCGGACCACCTAGCATGACGCATAAAGGTGCGCTACCGAGAAAGACACCTGCGTCGAGTCAGCATTTCAATTCCCGCAGCAAAAATACCCATTTCCCTTATGTTTGATTCGATATGACTTCACTTACGGATCACACATCTATTTATTGTGACACTTATTATTGTAATAATTAATTTTAGAATTAAATTTTGTTATATTTATAAAATTGGTATTTTTTGAGTCTTCCGCCAGCGATTTCAATAACTAGCAGGTAAAAAGCTAGTTGAAAAAGTAAATAATATGCTCACAACAATAATTCCTAATAGGGTCAGTCAGGAGCCTTTTTAATGGATGATAATGAAGTGGTAACTCCGCCTGCGGAGTATACCCTAGCGGGGCACCAGTGAAGAATGATAGGCGAGGATCAAGTCAGGTCAGTTGACATATCATGACGAATTCAATAGGAATTAATCACTATGGTTTCCAGGGGACCGTGTGGAGGTCGATCCCAAATGAAGTCTAACCAGTTGTCTCAATGTGGACCCGTTGAGTGGGACATAAAGAGAGACAGACATTGAGACATTATTAAATATATTCTGATTCAGTCCCTAAACTTGTGAACAATAACGACAGAAATTACAGTATTTTATTTAAAGTAAGTAAAAGGAAACGTATAGGAATGCTAACAATGGGATTCTCAGTCTCAGATACATTGATAAGAGCACCCATTGTTTTCTTTGTGTAATAATATCTTGTAATTGTTTGTATCTGTAATAAGTTTACTATTGTAATCTTTTGGAAGAAGCAATAAAGATTATCTCCTATCTAGCTATCTATCTCTGTAGGTAAATTTTTATGTTTACACACACGAGTAAGAGCACCGCCCGCCATTTTTTTTATGCAACTTAGAATGGCAAACAAGCTGATGGCCCACCTGATGGAAATTGGTAACCGTCGCCTATAGACATAAGCAATACCATGGACATAACAGAGTACACGAGAGAGAGACATGTTTCGCGTATGATACCCCCCATGCGTTGCCATTCTTGAAGACTCAGGTGTTATTCCTCTGTACCCTGTAAATTCACTGCCATGTCCCATCCTTCAAACCGCAACACTGTCATGCAAACACAACTGTTTCACGTTAGAAACACGAATGGGACAGAGGTGTCCAAGCAAACGACTTTTGTACAAGTCTCCCTCTAGTATGGCGGTCCTCACACGCTTGAGCCTAGATAGTCACGTACAGTACGTTTTCAGAGAAATTTTCTCCCACGAACACTCAGGCTGTGGAATTGGCTCCCTGTCGAGATTTTCCCTAAATACTACAGTATCGGTTTCTTCGAAAAGGGTATACTAAGATTTCTTCAGGATCGGCAACGCGCACGTGATACCCCTGGTGTTGCAGGCACCCACAGGCTACAGTGACCGTTTACCATCAGACGGGCTGTAAGCTTGTTTGCCACTTTAGTGGTATAAAAAAAAGTAAGACGCCAAAAGTCGTTATCTCATTCTAACCCATTAATGTGGTAACGCAATCATACAAGTATCTACTTAAAATATTTTTTCCTATTGGATAAACATGTAAAAAGCCTTCTTCAAGGCCAACATAACGATAGTATTAAAGGGGCGCATATAAATTTACTAAAATTTATTTATTTTACACTTTATTGCACCAAGTGAAAAAATAATAAATACAGTAAATATTAATGAGAAATGATACAAAAGGCGGCCTTATCGCTAAGTAATCTCTTCCAGATAACCCATTGGGTAGATAATATAGAGGATTAAAAAATCTTAGCATAAAAAAAATAAAAGTCATAAATGTGTCTCATGTTACACTTTATTTTGCACAAGATAAAGAACATCAACAAATCTCTTAAAATTACAGTAACGAAAGACTTATTAGGGTACAGCTATGAACTCGTAGCCGCAATATACAATATTTACATTGTAAGCTCTTTGGCCTGTACAAAAAAAAAATATACACAAACAAAAAAAAACATATTAAAAAAATAATTGTCAATAAAACTGTGAACCAAGGTGTCGGTAACGAATTTAAAATTAGCAATAAAATATCAACATAAGTATTAAAAATACATTTTACATTAAAAGGAAAAAGTGCGCTATTCGAAACGTGCATTCTATACAATACCATCAAATACTGACGTCGGTAATCGGTTATTGCTAACATTTACATAAAAAAACTTAAACATTCCTTTAGATTTTTACAAAATTTAAGTAAAAATAAATACGATTTAATCGACACTGTAATAATTAAAGTACACGAGCTAACTTCACGAATAACTTTTAACAGAATAAAAGTAGATTTTTTTTTTTATTGTAACAATGAAAAAATATCATATTCAATCGATAGATTTACACAAAGATGTAACAAACAAATCTAACTATTATATTGAAGAGAATAAAATACAGAATGCTATGTAGCCGACTGAAAAGTTACGTTTACAATAAAAACTTATTGATTGAATTAAACCAATTACAATGTAATTTATCCTACATTTGCAAAATTACACTAATAGATGCATTAGAAGTTTTATTATAAATCAGAAATACTCAATAATAGATCAAGAACTAATTCAAGTAGTTTGAATTCAACTTCTTCCATTTAACATCGAACCTTAATATTTAACATCATAAGGTTGATATTTGAGAGGAAATAAGAAGTACTTTCTAATTTGACATTATAATCAAGTCGATAAATGAATGGTTTCTTTTAGATCTCTCATCTATGAAGGCTCTCAATCTATTATTAGGTAATCAAGCGAAACTACCTAAATAGGCACAGGAGGGTTCAGTACATTTGGCTTATTACGGGAAAACCTTAGGTATATCACATCAACTATTTTATATTGACCCTTGGGCAAACATTTATCTTAATGGAATGTATTTTAATTTATTCGTAACTAACTTGCCGTAATTTCCACTAGATGGCTCTGCTACAACTCTTTCCAATTTATATAATTATATTAACTGTTTAAAATGAAACAATTACTACAAGTAATACAATACATTGTAATAGTTTCACTACCATTTTTTTCTACTAGTAGCAAAATATGTCAAAGCATTCTTTTCTACTTTTCAAGTCTCCTAGAAAAGACTGCTATTTCTTTTAATAAGAACCAGTATAAAAACATGCTAGCAAGTAATTATAAACTCTTTGACATTACATTAAAGTGCAAAATCGAACACCTGACTAAATTCCAATGCTCTATTACAAAATTAACATAAAACGCAGACTTGGAAAGAAAATTCTTGCAGCAAAAATTACATCAACTTCTACATTGTATTTACGTATTGTTTACGTCTTATAACGCAGAAATAAGTTCCTATCTACGTAGAAGAAATATTGTACTCAAATACACAAGTAACAAAGTACACAAATACACCCAAGGGATGAAGGGTAAGCAACAATATCAATATAAATTACCCTAATTTACCCTAAGTAGCGTTGAGCTGAGATCCTGCAACTATTTTATAATTTATAAATACCTAAATCTATTTTACTGTTATTCGGAAATGTTGGAACTCAATCGGGAGTTTTAGCAAATTCATATTTCATTTATTTAGTTCCTTATCATTATTATACATTATACAAATACATACCGACATGTTTTCCGGTAAATTCCGGATTGTTCTTCCGTGTTAGACTAGTTTTCTGCCCATCAAATTGTCTAATTAACGTATACATTTTCCATGAGCTATCGTAATATCGACGACATATTTTTCGGGCTTTGTGAATTTAAATTCGCAAATTTGATATATATACAAAAATATACATGTAAAAATGTTTTTTTCCATAATAAAAACTCACAGTTATGAATAAACACAGAGATTGGTGAAAGAATTTTTTTGCTGTCTGTACTTGTAGTTGCATAACTATTTACATAAACCACTTTATACTGTAATACAGCACTTTGTCCAATCCAGAATAAAATCAGGGCGGTTAACTATACTTACAATAACCCGCTTGCTCGTCTAACATTCGCCTAAACCGTAACTTTTAAAACTAAATTAAATTAATAAATAACTTTCTCCAAATATTTGAACTATAACGCGGGTTTTGCGAAATATTTCTTTCTAAATTTCACTAATGAAATTGACCGTTGATTTTTTTTAGAATTACTTGAATTACATTCCAGATGTAGTGCGCACTGGACAGTCAGTCGCATATTTTTATTTACAATCTCTTAGCAGCTTCGCAGAAGTAATCAACAAATTGAGCAGAGCTGCTCACAATCTATGACTATTCGATAATGTAAAGTCCCCATGACCTATGGTGGGCACAAAAACGCTGTGTATTTAAGTAATTTGGTAACTACATAACATTAATTCTCTCCTAACATTTCAGTCAGTTATCATTACAAATACATTACGTACGTAATATTAAGTGATAAAGTATTGGAAATCGTAGGATTAAAAACGTCAGGCCAAAACATTCCAATCAAATATTCCACTTATTTAGGATCTACATTAAAAAAAAAAAGGTAATGCTACGATAAGTAGAAAAACATTAAAATATAAATTCTAAATCTGTAAATTAAGGTTTATAATGACTTGAAGAACAAAGTTCGTGATAGATTTAAAAAGAAATGACGATACTGACCGCTTAGCACTAGAGACTCTATTACCTTCAAGTTAAGTTTCAAAATTCGATGCACCCAACTATATAGCTGCAATCTCTTAGAGAATCGATCACAAATTCCAAACAGTTTGTTTAAACAATTAGTTTAAACAATACTGCCGCACTTACCGTTCGTGAGCGATAGATTAGGACCCAGCGACGGCCGGCCCAACGTCACGTGGCTGAACGAACTTGTTATACCACTGCCGTTCAAGCCGTCGTACCCGTTCATGTACTGGTTATTTTGCAGTCCTATAAGCAACTCCACTAGCGCGTTCGAAGCACTCTGAGCGTTTAGTAACTCGAATATGATACAGTTACATTCCGGTTCCGGATTCTTTATAGAGCTTTTGTTACTCGACGTGGAGGTCGTGGAACTGGTGCTGGAACTGTTCGTGGAGGTCGCCGGGGGGTTGGGGTGCAGGGGGCAGGTGAGTTGGAGGTTCTTGGGGTACTGTGTGGGGATGCCTGAGAGATGGTTGGCGGCCGCTCGCGCGTAGAACACGCACGTGTGACCGTCCGCGTCTGGGAAGTTCGGGTTGCCGTTATGCTGTAAAAGAGAAAATAAAAATTAGCCCCAGTTTGATTTCACCTTAATAAATTAAAATATTATATTTCTATTCAAATTCGAGTCATTTTTCATTTAAATAGAGTTGTAAATAAGCTCTTTTATACGTCTTTTTTTAAATGTGCCAAAAAAATTCAACAGTTATTCTTTTAAATTTTTGTACATTATATTATGTACATTACGTTGTATTTATTAAGATGTATTATATCTAAAATTGACGTGTGATCCTGGTATATAATGGGCCACCTCTTTTTTATGGGCGTCGTAACAGACGATTACGACGATTTTACCAGAGGGAGACTTCATCCCATTCGTGTTTCTACCGTGAAGCAGTTGTGTTTGCATGGCTGTATTTCGGTTTGAAGGGTGGGATATGGCGTGAATTTACAGGGTACAGAGGAATAACACCTGAGTCCTTGGACGAAACAGTATACTCTGTTATGTCCTGTTATGCTCATGTCTATAGGCGGCGGTTACCACTTTCCATCAGGTGGGCCGTCAGTTTGTTTGCCATTCTAAGTTGAAAAAAAAAAAACACGATTATGGGATTTTTATGGTTGTTAACTGTCTACTATTGAATAATAAGCCTCCCCATGAAGGGGGTTGCCAGTATTTGCTACGCTTGACAGGCGGGTCAGCAAACGTAGTTAGGTTTTGGTGATATTTTAAGAAGGTTAATTCTATACATGAAATATATTTCCAAAATAACTATCAGGGGGTGATTAGTGATCGATACTGATACCAAAAATACAATCAGTAAATTTTTGTCTGTCTGTCTGTATGTTCGTTATAGAAACAAAAACTACTCGACAGATTTTAACGAAACTTGGTACAATTATTCTTCATACTCCTGGGTAGGTTATAATATACTTTTCATCACGCTACGATCAATAGGAGCAGAGCAGTGAAGGGAAATGTGTCTGTTGCATCAAAACCACTGAACCGTGAGTAAGGACATAGGCCACTTATTTTACGAAAAACAACGAAAACGCGGACGAAATCACGGGGAACAGCTAGTAAAGAATAAATAAATGATTATTTATTTATTTATTTATAGGATTACCAATATAAGATACAGTTAAACATTTCAGTACAATACGCTGGTAGATTAAATTTAACTGTTGTTACATTTATAGGCAACCAGAGCATACCTTGTGTTTGATAAATAGTACAATATTGCAGCGGCCTGCAACTGAGGCATTGATGGATGAACGTGCAAAAGCTTGTATAATACTTTTTTCAAACAATGCGCGGAAATCAAAAACACAATTTTACTTTTTAAATTCAATGACGAATAACGCACAATAATAATTTTTCACGCGCCATAATACTCCTTTGTTTTTTTTTTAAATAAACAGCTTTCTATTTGCAAGCCAGTTCGAAATTTAAATAAAACCTTTTATTAGTTACCTCCTGTTTTGAAGTAAAAGGTCATACCATTTTTAAATTACAGGACAGATATCAGTTTACATAGTAATTTATAGATATGGATTTTCATACAACTTTTGCCGGTCGCTGCCCGCTTGTATCTGGCCAGTACGGTACCGCAAGTTCGATTTATCTCGAAGAAGACTGTCACAATAATGCTCACATTACCAAGCGTGTTTGAGAAAAAAAAATATGATGCGTCATGTATGCGGTGCGTACCCATATGAGCAGCTGCGCGGCGGCGAGGTGCCCGGCGGCGGCGGCGGCGCGCAGCGCGGCGGCGCGCTCGGCGGGCGGCGGCGCGCGCGCGCCCGGCGCCGCCAGCGCGCGCGCCGCCACGCACACCGCGCCGCGCGCCGCCGCCGCGCGCAGCGCCTCGCCGCCACCGCCCGCCGCGCCGCCCGCCGCCAGGAACGCGCGCCGCTCGTACTTCAACCGGATCCATCTGTTACGCGCACATTCAAATATTACATGTTCTTAGTTTGAAAAATAAAAAAAATAATATAATGACAACACTATTCTAATTTTAAAAATAAAACGTCATATAATCGTGCACGCGCCTCTTGTAATTCATAACCACTCTATTCTAATTTTGAAAATAAGAAGTCTGAACTTATAGTAAACACACTTCGTTAAAAAAATATAATGGCCACCCTATTCTAATTTTAAAAATCAAAAGTCATACTATGCTACACGGACCTCTTGTAATTCATGACCACGCTGTTCTAATTTTAAAAATAAAAAGTCTAGACTATAGTACACGCACTTCGTTTAATGCATGATCACACTGCTGTTCTAATTTTAAAAAACCTAAAGAACTAATCTGTAACGCACGTGCTTGATATTGCTGCATAAAAACCCTGTTCTTAATTTAAAATATAAAAAATATCAATATAAAGGAAACACGTCCATATACATATATTTAATATTTGTGAGAGAAATGAATATATCAATAAATACATTCTAATTGAATTCAAATCATTACTGAAATATGTGTACATACATTAAATGAAATTATTTATGTGTACATAAATTAATATCGAACTATTGTATATAGAAAACAATAATAATATACGTTATTACTGTCACATGATAAAACGAAACAGCGATACCCAACAATTTGTTCTACCTCATATGTATACTAACAAAAACATATACAAAAATATTATCTAGGGAATTATTAATAAAGATAAATCTTTTATTAAACTAAGAAGTTATAAAATTATCCATAGATTATTTTCCACTACTATTAATCATATGAAAGAAATACGCACTTTGCTGTCGAAAAAATTTTAACTACCTTTGTACCATGTGAAATTTCCTAGTAATTAGTATTTTATTTAATTTCCTAGTAATCCAAAAATAAATAAAATTTCAACTTAAACACAAGCTTTTGTTCATCAGACTACAAACATTCTACGTCTTATCTATGAATACAATTCAATCTATTCACAATTTTCACTTTATTGTTTATATTACCAATGTAATAAAAGTGAAACTTGATAATGTTTAAATGTTTGTTACACAATTTCTCATTATAAAACATAAGAATATATATTAAATCAACTAACCGTTCTTTCTCTTCCCTGCTCGACGTCGCAATTGGCTTAATATGGCCCCTTAAGTCCGCCTCCCATATTGAATTAGCGAGAGTGTTGCCCATTGACACCATTACACTAACATGGCTCAACCTGCAATAAAACAACACTGATTAGTACAATTACATTAATATAATAAAATTATATATACATATATATATATATATATATATATATATATATATATATATATATATATATATATATATATATATATATATATATATATAATACACAACATCTGTACATGGGAAATACTGAATAAATAAATTATGGGATTTTAATAACCAAAATAATCTTCACCATCATCGTATTAACCGTTCCTCATCATCCACTGCCAAACCACGTAGTGTAATCATCACGCTTGACATTGGATTAATGATAAATTTAATCATAACCCAACTCAAATTTCTTAGCACTTGTATCATACTCACGATAGCAAAGCAAACTTAAACTTTCATAAGATCTGACAAGACTACCATAAGGAACGGTCCTAAGCCACCTGCATCCACTGACTAACTGCAAAACAATAATTTTTAAAATTTCTGTCTGTCTATCAGTATGTTTATTCCAGGATCATGCAAAAAACTGCTGCACAAAATTGGATGCTGCTCACACATTCACAATTATATTGAAAGTCTAACTTAAAAATTGATGCATATTTTATCTTGATACATAAGTAATCTATTTCATTGATTTTTCTATTTATCTACGCGTACGAAGTAACGAACAAAAGCTAGTATTTATATCACAATCATCTCGGCCATTATGTGTGCACTGCTAAACATAGGTCTCCCCAATAGACAGCCATAAGGAATGTTCCTGAACTACCTGCATCCACCTGCATGCAATACCTAAGTTCAAACATAAATATGTACATATCTGTCACGCCTGTCTCCCATTAGGGTAGGCAGGAACAATGGAACATCAAAAGCTTCGATTCAAACAACCCTCTTTCGCTTCTTCCATATTCATCAATCTTTTCATATATGCTCGCCGGTTATAGGTACTTTTAATTTGGCCCTTCTTCAGAACGTCGCCTATTTGGTCGACATAAGTTCATTCAAATAAATGAATAACTGAATGATACATATAATTATTAAGAGTGATACTTACGGCCACTCGTCTAAGTCGAGAGAGCGTACGCGTGATATGTGGGATCCAAGATTCCTATGTATACCAGAGCACTCGATGCAGATCAGCACTCCCAGGTTCAAACTCGCCCAGTCTGGATCTGGAAATACAATATTTGGCTATTAGAAACTTAATTATGGACTTAGAAAATGGACTGGACTGGACTGGACTTAGGTGTTATTCCTCAAATTTAAACTAAAATATGTGCTTACGAAACTTAATAAAGAAATAAGTAATAATTAATATATCTATCTGTTAATTCTTACTAATATTGTTTATTTTTTAATTAGTGAAAATTAAATGGTAACCCCGTCTGGGTTATCGATATACATAGATAGGGTTCCAGTAAGGGATGGTCCGACTGAGATTCGAACCCGGGACCTCAGCACGCAAAGCAACGCGCCCACCGCTGCGCCACCGAGGCGGTCAGCAATAAGAACTAAAAAGCGCATGTTACCTGGCGCGCCGCAGTCACAGCAAGCATGGTTTCCGTTCACGCGCCGCACGTACTGCGTGGCGCGTACCTCGCCCGTCGAGTTCGCGCCCGTCGGCACCGGATGCCGGGACGTCTGCGGCGAGGACCACACAAACCATGTAGCATTCGTACATTTAAGCAGCTAATACGCTAATAATATGATGTAAGGATAATATATTTTTATATGCAACTTAGAATGGCAAACAAGCTGACGGCCCACCTGATGGAAAGTGGTAACAGTCGCCTATAGACATGAGCAGTACGATGGACATAACAGAGTATACTGTTTCGCCCATGATACCCCCCATACGTTGCCATTCCTAAGGATGGTGTTATTCCTCTGTACCCTGTAAATTCACTACCATATCCGACCATTCAAACCAAAACACAACCACGCAAACACAACTGTTTCACGGTAGAAACACGATTATAACTATATATTGTAGTTGCATTATTTATAAATAATCGTAAATATATTGGCCTAATATATCGGTTATCCGATATATAATATCGAAAAAAAGAACCCCCACTCATCTATCTATATCTACACACTTATAATAAATCTGTAGAGAGGTCAATTCTGTACATGAAATATATTTCCAAAATAACTATCAAGAGGTGATTAGTGATCGGTACTGATGCCAAAAATGCAATCAGTGAAATTTTTGTCTGTCTGTCTGTATGTTCGTTATAGAAACAAAAACTACTCGACAGATTTTAACGATTAACTTGGTACAATTATTCTTCGTACTTCTGGGCAGGTCATAGTATACTTTTAATCACGCTACGATCAATAGGAGCAGAGCAGTGAAGGGAAATGTGTCTGTTACATCAAGACCTTTGAACCGTGAGGAAGGACATAGGCTACTTATTTTACGAAAAACGACGGAAACGCAGTACGAAGTCGCGGGCAACAGCTAGTTGATAATAATTAGTAACAATGTAACCCTATCAGGTCAACATTCAGGAAGCCCCCCCCCCCCCCACGCCCTCTAGGTGGAGAAGATATTATTAGTAATGGAATTAGCGACCTCATTGCTAGTAATATAGTGTGTCAGGTTGACCACAACACGGTCCCTGACAGGAGGAGAAATTATTCTATCTTCACCCTTTATAAAAAAATATACTCGACAGGGCTCCTCCTGAAAACCATCGTGGTTCAATCATTCAATTATTTCATCACAGTGAGCCAACTGATCTGCTTTCATTCTCATCTATCATCCTTCACTGATGCTTCACCAGCGTATACCAAAAGCGGAGGCGAAGCCATCATTGCATTATTATCCATATTAAAAAAAAAAACTAGTTATGGCCTAACGGCAACTAATAAGATGTTCTATTTAAAGGATGTATCTCCATTAACATTACTAAATATGTTTTTTTTTATGGGTGAAAATGGTATGGTAACCCCGCCTGCGCTAACGGGATACGCTGGCGGAGCACCAGTGAAGGGTGACACATGAGAATGAAAACAGGCCAGTTAGCCCATCATGATGAATTCATCAGGAATTAACCATGATAGTTTCCAGGGAGAACCGCGCGGAGGTCGACCTGGTTGGGTATATTGCTAGCAATGGGATTCTCAGTCTCCATTACTAACAATCCCTTTCCTACTAAATAGGGTTGTCACATTTCAAGAGCTGCACTCACCCGTCCCTGCAGCGAGGCGAGTATCTGCGCCTCGACGGCGGCGACCCAGGCGTCGCGCTCGGCGGCGGCCGCGCCCCCCGCGCCGCCCGCGCCGCCCCCCGCGCCACCCCCCGCCCCTGCACCCGCGCCGCCAGCCCCCGCGCCTACACCCACCTCCCACCGCCACCGCTTGCCGTCCAGGCTCACTATTGTGAATTCGCACGACGTCGCGGCATCGCCATCTGCAATGTAATAATAACACGAAGGTAAAAATAACAGACGTCAATCGTAGCTAAGAAACCAGGTCGATCCTGAACCTAGACAAATATTCTCGTCGAAAATACACATAAGTCATTTAAATCATAATCAAGCATCTAAGGGTGGATAATATATATATAATATATAGCAACATCTATATATTTTAATTCCAATATCTGTATACTCTGGTCCAATAACGAATATGTTAAAAGTCTGTTATCCGAAAAATAATATTGGACAGCAGACTTTTAACATATTCGAAAATAGATATCCGAACGATATCAAAATGGGTAATGACCTTTTTTCCGCCATCAATGTCTAGAACCCAATATATAGATTTCAGATCGATATCCATATTACCCATGCCTACAAGCATCCCATAACTGAACATGAATTCCTTCAGAATTGTTAGTAAAGGCCTTATTGCTAGCAATATATCAGATCGTTTTCCACACGGTATCTTCTAGAAACCATACTTTTAATTCTTGATAAATCCATCAGGATGAACCAATCGAGCTGACATGACGAGGAGACTTTGTACAAAAGTCGTTTACTTGGGTACCTCTTTCCCATTCGTATTTCAACCGTAAAGCTGTTGTATTTGTATGGCTGTGTTTCGATTTAAAAGGTGGGACATGGCGTGAATTTACAGGGTACAGAGGAATAACACATGAATCCTCAGGAATGGCAACGTATGGGGGGTAACATGGGTCAAACAGTATACTCTGTTATGTCAGTCATGTCTATAGACGACGGTTACCACTTTCCATCAGGTATGCCGTCAGCTTGTTTGCCATTCTAAGTTGTATAAAAAAAAAACACCCCTCACTATTACGACTCAAACCTGCAAACCACAGACAAAGTTACCGTTCTATGCTATAAAGTACCTGATTATGATTAGACTTTTAAAAGAGAGAGAGAGGCTAAGTGCGAAAAATAGAGTCCTATTTACATTACATTACATTACACTTTTAAGAAATTAAAAAAGCACCTTCATCCCCGTCCTTCTTAACACTGCTACTCTTCATCCTCCGATGCCTCTTTTTGACGTGGGGCGTATCCTTGTCCGCGCCGTTGGTGGAGCCCACCTCGACCTCCGAAGCGAGCGACTGTCGACCAGAGGCAGGCTCCTTCATCGCATCGAACGCCGACATCAGCGCTTTGTCGGTCACCCGAGTCGGTTTATCTTTGTACCCTGGGAATGTATGGTCTGTTTTAGTAATTTTTTTCTTTTAATTACTACAAGGCAATGTAAAAATCGCCGTGTAGGTACCGGCATAGAATGGGCCACCCCTTATTTTCCCGTGGGTGATGTAAGAGGCGACTAAGGGAGTTTATGGTGGAGGAATGGGCAGCAACGTCTCTCTTAAAACATCACCAAAAGCCAAACTGCGGCTGCCAACCCGCTTGCCAAGCGTAGCAACTACTGGCAAACCCCCATTATAGGGGAGGCTTATGTCCAGCAGTGGACAGTCAACGGCTGATATAATAGCATAATGGCTGTTTCCCGAGACATGCGTGGTTTCACGTGTCCTCTTTAAGTTAAAATAAAAAAAAAAAATATTAATAGATGTTCACGTTACAAAATATTGTCCCAAATTTCAGCTTTCTAGACTTAGTAGTATAGATAACATTACAGTATCATGGACAAGGTGATAAATTGCGTTTACACTATGCTTACCGAGTGACAACCCTCCAATGCTGTCATGGATGTCCAGACTACTGTAACCATTGTAGCCTGGGACGGTTGTGATGATAGATTTAGACCCTCTGGGCTTCTGTCCTGGTACCTTCACTGTCACATACTGCAATGATATCTCCTTACCATTCACATCTTCCATGTAATCCTGTAATTAAGAAACGTAAAAAAAATTAATAAGCATGCTGAAAGTACCACTAGAAATCGAAGAGATGAACTTAGTACAACAAAAAGGCGTAAAACATCTATGGATAAGGAGATATTAAAAAAAAATTTTTGGTGCTAAAATACTTACATGCAAACTTGGATGGTACGTCAGCCTGCCGTCATCGCAAAGAGTGACGTACTTCTTTTTCCACTCCTTGTTTAAAGCTTTACTACTCTTCTTATACAAATATCCCTGTTTTAGTGGAATAGCGCGGCCAGAACCGAGCTCGCCGTTCTTCAATCTGTCATCACCCTTTTTCGAGGGCGTGAAGAGATTCGATCTTCTCCTGGATTTCCTCGATGTTGTCGGCGTAGAGGATGGTGTGGGCAGATCTTTGGGATCCTTGATGGGCTGGAGATTGTCCAGACAGTGTGGAGCTGTGAACTTGACGTTATTATTCTCCGTCGCAATGGAAACCAGGCCCGATGAGGACCCGTGGCTCCCGAGCGAGTTTCCCCATCGGGATGAGGTATCTGATCCGTTTGTGCTGTGGATCTCGACGACGTGGGTGGATGAGATGCCACTGCTGTTTGATGAGGCATCGAAGGATTGTGCTCCGCGGTGAAGGTGATGGGATGACGCTGAAAGCGTGTGGTGACCACGAGGCAGCGAATCCTTGAATGAAAAATTTATACAATTATTAATTTATTCACCATTACAAGCACATAATTTATGAATTTATAATTTCACGTGCCTCTACGGTAAAAAGGTATCCAAATCAGCATTAAGCTGCTGAGTGCCCACAGCGCTGATATTTCGCTGGTACTTTGTAAAAGAATTAAAATTAACTTCAAACTCTTAGTAAATTTTCTGTTGCCTCCTCCTCTTATGTAATTTTGCGTAAAATAAAAATGCGTAATGTGTAGATATATAAATTACAGTGAAGTGTAAATATCTGTGGTGACGACAAAGTAAAAATACGTCACCATTTCCCTCTACCTCCACGATGTCATAAGAGCCAACTTAAGAAACTAAGCAATGTAAACCAGAAGTAAAACTCGAAACTGAGACTTAATATATCGAGTCGCCTGGCCATATGATTTATGAATGAATGAGTATACTTTATTTGCATCATACCCCTATATTGTATAGGGAATAAGCAAGACAATTCATAAATGTAACGATACAGTTGCAGAAGTACAGTAAAGCGGTCACATTGTTGAGATCAATCTTTTCAAAACAACTTTAGAGTAATGGGATAATTGTTATACAAGTAGGTATAATATTGTATAATTAAGAAAGTAAAATGTTAAGGAATAGTACATTACTGCAGCGGCCTGAGGCATTGATGGACGGACGTGCAAATTTGGGCCGAAGCGTAGCCGAGGCACACATACGTGAGTCCATCAATTATATATATAAATCAAATATATAATATATAAATCTATTCATATAAAATATAAACTTAACACTAGAAGAAATATATATAATTATAGGTATAGGAAAAACAGTAACATAAATAGTTGGATAAATATTTAAACAATGCCAATTTATAAAATGAAAACCCAATTAGATAGACAGAAGATAATCTTCTACTTGTTGCTTGAAAGCGTCAATGGATATTTAATGTTATCTTTTAAATTAAAACATAAAGCTATGACTTGACAATTTACCACACATATCCATGATTATATTATTTACATTTTAAATCTTATCACAACATACGCATTTAGTCCAATTACTGATATGATAGAGACATAATGAAACATACCAGAAACATGTTTACATTCTTTTAAGAACTGTTTTTTTATGCAACTTAGAATGACAAACAAGCTGACGGCCCACCTGATGGAAAGTGGTAACCATCCCCTATAGACAGTAGAGTACAGTAGAGCAGTACCATGGACATAACAAAGTATATTGTATCGCCCATGATAATGCGTTGCCATTCCTGAGGACGCAGGTGTTATTCCTCTGTACCCTGTAAATTCACTACTATATCCCACCCTTTAAACCGAAACACAGCCATGCAAACACAACTGCTTCACGCTAGAAACACGAATGGGACAGAGATGCCCAAGCAAACGATTTTTGTACAGTCTCCCTGTCTCTTTTAAAAACTACAAAGTAATATAGTATTATATAGCATTTTCTAGAATAATGACAAATAAAGAAAAAAAAATACAGTATTAGTACTGATGACAAATAAGTATTATTTCCAAAATAACAATTTCCCTTTGTGCAATATATACGAATGTTAGTGCAGTGTGATATCAGATTGTTATCAGATACCGCGTATCGTTTTGATACAATAAACAAACACACAAAAATACTGCTCTAGTTAAATTTTCTAATTCATAAAATCTTCCTTTTATGGACCTTTTATCCAGGAAACTTGACAAATGCAACATCTTATCTACAATGTTACTAGCTTATAAATTTCATTTCATTTCATTAGATAAAGTTAGATAAATACTTTGTTCGAGTCATGTATGATAATTGAAAATTAACAACTAAATTCATACAATCAAATAAGTGAGTAAACATTTCGATTCCAAGATGTGGGGATGGATTCCCTGGCGATGACGAGCGGTACGACGGTGAAAGGTGGCTATAGGCATCATATTCAAGAGGTCTCCAGAACACAATCCATTATTTTTAATAACATAATCATACTGAAAAACCAACAAGTATGGCCGTAACAAATGTTAATCAGCAGATTGAAATATCTATGGTGATTAGTAGGTATATATACGTAATATAAATAGAAAGTGACAAAAGAGTAGTCCGCGAGCTTTAATGACCTTTTAATAATAAAAAGCGGAAATATTTACATGACAAATTAATTCAAAAATTTTTTTAAACCTATCCGCATTAACTCACTGGCGCCAATTACATAACTTGTCTATTAGATATACATATATACTAATATAATAAATCGATGAGAATGAGTCAGTTGTTTGAATTTTAACCATGATAGCGTCACTGTAACTAACATTCTGGTTGGGAAATGGGATTTTAGTCTCCATTTGATAGCTCATTGTCTATTGAGATATACATATATACTAATATAACAAACGATGAGTCGACGTCACTGTAACTAAGACAATGAAAACAGACCATTTGATAGCTCATTGATGAATCCATCAAGACCATTAACCATGATAGTTTCCGGCGAGAAAGAAGTAATAACAGAACCTGGTTGATCAAAAACTTAGCAACGGTTTATCATCATTATCATTTCAATCTGTCATTACTAACGTAAATCCCTTTGCCAGTAGTTCCCGCGTTTGGCATGCGGGTTGGCAACCACAGAATTTTGTGTATTTTCAAGAAGGACACTGCTGCCCATTCCTCGACCATTAAGTCCTCTTAGCCCTCTCTTATATCCGCGGAAAAGGAAGGGAGGACCTATTCTATAGTGGGACCAAATAGCGAAACGGCCAAACCAGTTGGTTCTTGAAAATATAGATTGTTTTTATGAAATGTCTACCTGAGAGGATTCTCCGACATCGTCGTGCATGCGTACGACGAATTTCGAAAAAAAAAAATAATGATATAAATAAGTTAAGATTTGATATTTATTTTCTTTATCGACCTATCACTAATTTGATGTCTACGTAGAGAAAAAATTTAAAAAAAATTTAATGAAAATGTAAATAAACAATTGACCCAACTTGAGGTGGAAAAAAGCACACAATCCACCTAATAGTAAGCGAGAAGGGATTGTCAGTAAAGGAGATTAAAAATTCCATTAGTAGCAATATACTCTATTAGGTCGACCTCCACGCGGTTCTCCCTAAGAACCATCGTGATTGATTTATTATTGAATTCGTCACAATAGGCCAAGCGACCTGCTTCATCATCATCTATCATCCCTCACTGGTGCCCCACCAGTGTACACCGTTAGCGCAGGCGGGGTAATCACTCCATTACCATCCATTAAACAAATGGTAAGCAGTTACCGTAGCTTATGAACGTCTGCAATACTAGGAGCATTACGCGCGCGTTGATTACTTGATTGTTTCCATTTCTTACTAATTTCATTTAGAGAATATTTCTATCACACTTTCATTAAAACTCGGTTACATTTTCGTTAAGTTTTATTATAACAGGCTATATGTATATACATACCAGAGGGAGACTTTGTATAAAAGTCGATTGCTTGGGCACCTCTGTCCCATTCGTGTTTCAACCGTGAAGCAGCTGTGTTTGCATGACTGTGTTTCGGTTTGAAGGGTGGGATATGGCGTGAATTTACTGGGTACAGAGGAATAACATCTGAGTCCTCAGGAATGGCAACGCATGGGGGGGGGGGGGGTATCATGGGCGAGACAGTATACTCTGTTATATCCATGGTACTGCTCATGTCTATAGGCGACGGTTACCACTTTCCATCAGGTGGACCGTTAGCTTGTTTGCCATTCTAAGTTGTATAAAATAAAAAAACATACTGTATATTTTTAATTACACATAAAAACAAAGCGAACAAGGGCGACGTTATCATACTAAAACAAGTTGTAATCATAAAAAAATATACAAGCTAATCCACATTACCTTATGGTTGTTTTACAATTTTATATATTCACAAATTATGCGTAGACAATAAATTCGTGTCAGAATATTTAATGGCCTATAAGACAACCGATTACATAGGTATAGAGGTGAAAACTTATTTAAAATTAATAACTTTCACTAACATACTCGTGTCCACTAATCATTAGGGTTGTCACATTGTATTTCTTTATTTATAATAGGTTTAACCAATATTGAAAACAGGAAAAATCAGAAGTGAAAGCCTATTATGTACTAAGCAACCTAACTTGTACGTTAAATAAAAATAAATAAAATATGCTCACGACCATAATAACTGATGAAGTAGTCAGAGACATTGACGTCATTATATTCCTTCATTTTTAACAGCTTAATATTAGATCTATCATGACAGAGGGCGAGCCCATCGCCGTCGCTCGATTTATTTTTTGATGGGTAAAAATGGTATGGTAACCCCGCCTGCGCTAACGGGATACGCTGGCGGAGCACCAGTGAAGGGTGATAGATGAGAATGAAAACAGGTCAGTTAACTCATCTTGATGAATTCATCAGGAATTAACCATGATAGTTTCCAGGGAGAACCGCGAGGAGGTCGACCTGGTTGGGTATATTGCTAGCAATGGGATTCTCAGTCTCCATTACTAACAATCCCTTCCCCCCCCCCAAGTTTATCCAATTGGACCGTATAAATTTTGAGGTCAACAGTCGAAGTATACCAATCGGCTAATACCTCCTATAAGTAAATATCCGTGAGAATAAAAAAAATTAGATGTGAATGATTGATAAGACGATAATGACACTAAACGCAAGTCAATAGTCAATGACACCCACATGGGATATACAGAGCCATTGGAAATCTTTTGTAATACTTATACCATAAGATTAAATATATAGATAGAAGTAACCGAACTCTCACTCCCATAATTCAATAATAATAACTTTTGCGTCCAATTCGCGTCCCATTCAGTCAGGGCTGGCATCAACAGACAGCAGTGAGAGCGGGCATCTCGTTCACGCGCACGTGTATCGCATGAATCTCATGATACCATGATATAAATGAAGGCGAATGTAATGGACACATACAATGCAGTTTATTTATATTTCTTTTTATTGTTATTTTT